TATGAATCTGGGTTATTCTGGCCTTGTATCTCTGCAGATGAATTTTAAAAAGGATGTTATTAATACTCTTGCGTGCGTGCGTGCGTGTGTGTGTGTGTGTGTGTCAGTGTTCTAGGGTCCACAGGGTCCCGTGTCTCTTCCTGTGTTTGGATCTTTTTGCAAATAATGTTTTTCTAGGTTTTAAGGCTTAACTCCTGCCACACCATTAAAATATTTTCTTGATTTCTCTAATATTTAGATAATTAGTGGTTGTAATGATTCTTGATCTTTGAATAGATTGTAAAAATGCTTGCAGAGCCCAAGGGGTCAGATTTTGCTGGTTAGCATGGTCCATGTGTATGTCGACAAATGTTTTTTGCAAGCAAGAATAATAATGTCATGACAATAGGCATGTGTTTTATTTTCTGTCAGCATGTGGTTCATTGTTTCTAGTGATAAAAAACTCTCTAATTGCACCGTTTTGTGTTATATATGCTGTTTCTCAGATGTGGTGTGCATGCTTTTCAGAAAACCAATATCCAGAGTGCGGTTGTGGGACATATGACAAAGGCAGTAAACTGACTGGATACTGGAAGTAATGTCTATTGGTAACATGCTTATATTCTGCTTTGTACTCTAGTTTCTTATTCATTTGCCACGATCAGTCAGAATTGTTTTATTGGCTGACTGAGCGGTTCCTGGCCAGAATGAGCTGAACTGTTGGTTCAGACTTACTGTGCCTGTCAGAGGTTTGGCTACATCATGGCTGCTTCTGAAAGTGCATAATCTGAGTAAGTACTTTTTTTGAAAAAGTAATTATTTAGCAATTATTAAAAAAAAAAAATGTTCCGTATAGTATGAATGTGTGTAGCAAGAATAGAATCCGGGCGTACTAAATTTTTATGATGTTATACTGAATAAAAATAAAAAAAGGTTGTGACTTTTTAGCTCACAATTCTACCTTTTTTCTCAGAGTTGCATGATATAAACTCGCAATTCAGATTTTTTTCCCTCAGAATTGCATGATATAAACTCGCAATTCTGACATTTTTTCCTCAATTCTGAGGAAAAAAAAGTCAGAATTGAGAGTTCTGAGAAAATTGTGAAATAAACTAACATTTGCGATAAATAAAGTCAGAATAAACTTGCAGTTCTGACTTTTTTCCTCAGAAAAAGTTTGTATCTTGTAGTTCCGACTTTTTTCTCGCAATTGCGAATTTTTTCTCAGAATTGTGTGATATAAACTCACAATTGCGAGTCAAAGTCAAATTCTGAGGGGAGAAAAGACTGATATTTTTGCAGAATTGAGTTTATATTTCGCGCAATAATTTGTGTTATAAAGTCAGAACTGCAAGATATAAACTCAATTCTGAGGGAAAAAATTACAATCGCAATTGTGACTTTATTTCTCAGAATTGCGAGTTTAAATTACCTTTTTTGTTTTTTATTCAGTGGCGGAAATGGGCTTTCATCGTTTTTTGCCTTCCATTTGGTTGGGAATTATGCATATTTGAACATGCCTGTGTGAACTAATACCCTTAACCACACCCCCAAACAATGGTATGCTCTTAACCACACCGCAACACTATCACACATTTCGACTTGAAGCGGCGCTTCACAGTCCAATCAGTGTATAACATCGAATGTGTGTAGCATGAAGTACTGCAAGAGCGTTTCATAAGCAGTAAGCATACAGAGCCATCTGCTCTCTAGCATAACATATATAAGAAGTCATTGTGCTATAAAAAAAAACTTCATGTAAGTTTCAGAACTCAAAACATTCTCGTAAGTCTAAAAACTGAAGCTAATCTGCCAAGACAACAGGTTGTGGAATGTGCTACTTTATGACGTAATAGTGTGGCTAAACCCTGCCTCTGCAGAAGAAGATCAACGCCTGCTTTTACATCACTGCCTGTTTAGCCCCGCCCATCGATTCAAGCACGTAGTAGGTAAATGACAAGAGCGGCAAACGCAGGTCTATGCAGAAACCAAACGATAAACTTTATTTGATGAACTTAATTTTTAAGTGCCAGACCATGTCAGTAAGAACTTGGTCCTTTGTTTACTTCATTTACTTAATTTGTTTACAAACAATGCACAATTGGATGCAGAACTTTCAGAAAGATTGAAAATAAAAGACAATGTTTTGCAGACTATATTGGATCCGACAGTGATGTCATACCACACAAAGTTTAGTAACTGTTTTCATTACATGATCACTATTGCTTGGTCTGTTATTACAGATCTTTGATATGTACTGAGTGTTTATGCGTTTTTAACCTAAAACACTGCAGCGTCCATCTATGAAGGATGTAGGCTGTCAAACATACACAACTATTAGCCAATCATAGCAGTGTGCATTTACTTCCGAGTCAACAATCCACCACGCCTATTCAAACAGAGCGTTCTGATGAGGGGGGTTAAAAACAAGACAGAAAATAGTTTATTACTTCTAAATTAGGATGTTTTTTAATGTAAAAATCTTGATAACATTATAAGTGGACCTCAGAGAACAGTACAAAATAAAAAAACAAAGGCTGTTAATGACCCCTTTAAGCAGTACATATAGTATTGAATGGAAAGTGTTTCTGTTGCTACATAAAACCTTCTCAGTTGTCTGTGTATTTGACAAATATTGCATCTAATCCACTTCATCTGTGATAAAGTATGCAAATGCTGCATGCTCAAGCATCACCATAGAAAGCAGAAAGTGACTTCACGTCTCTATAAGCAAATCTCATTGATCAGTCAAAGTTGAAGTCGAGCACTTAATTTCACCCTCTCAACCACACCTCCAAACAATATCACACCCTCTTTTACAGTGTTTAACAGGTGTCTTTATCTTAGTGTTGTGACAAAATGGCCTGGCTGTGGAAGAAACCAGAGGATAATGAACTAGTAGAAATTAGAGCAGTAATGTTTTATTCTCTTGTACGGTCGTGGTCAAATCATCCACTGCTGTGATGCTGCAGTGAAAATGCTCTTACTGTACAGCTCAGAGAGAGAGAGAGAGAGTGAACGGGTGTATGTGTTTTTGTGTGGTGAGATGAATATATGAATGGTGATGCTGACTCATAAAACAGTATGTGAGAGTGTGTGTGTGACTGTGGTGTCAAAATACACTCATCCATGTAGTGCACTAGATTAACACATGCTGAGGTATGTGTGTGTGTTTGCTTAGTTGCTGGAGTGAAAATGGTGACATATGGTCAAAAAACACCATATTTTAGAAACAAATTAGTTATCCTCTGCCTAATCTCCGTTAGCCCCTCCCCTAACTCATTTAGTCCCTCCCCATTTGTTTCAGGCTAGTTTCTTGCTCATCCAGTACTAATAGCTGCTTACACTGAAGTTCACTTTTTACAGTCATCCTTTTGTTCATATTGTGTATATATGTATGTATATATATGTTCATTGAAGTCGCAAGTTAAAATACAATGTGAATGTTTCCTTTTTTGAAGTGAAAAGCTCTGAGAGAAGGCCATTGCTGATCTCAGATCAGAGGGAAAGGGGATCCCCTGGTGTCAGTGGTGATGCAGTTGCAGAACGTGATTAAATCTCAGTTCATGGATTTCAAATCGAACAGCTTTTAGTGGCTGATGGCTCAAACTTTAGAAAGTTTACATGAGGTGCAGATTTGATCTGTGTGAATGAATGCGGGATTTGAAATTTAGACACCTAGTTTTTGCTTTATGTGAATTCAAGTTTACAAGTGTGTGTATGTATTGCTCTTTTTCAATTAGAAAAAATGAGTGTCAGAGTATCTCTCAAGAGAGTGAATCCATTGTGGGTACTTTAGGATGAGTAACTGAGATTCTTCCTTTTGAAAGTCCTTTATCCAGAGCATGGCTTTACTACGGTAATTAGAAATGGTGCTTTAGGAGAAAAGAGTCATCGAGAAAAGCCCACTTTGACTTCCTATAATTTAACAGGAGTTAGATAACACAGACAGCAACTCTCCAGTTCTCTTTTTACTCTCATAACATAATTTACTGAATCCTAATGATCAAAACCCAGCACTTTCTCTTATATAAAAGACATTAAAGTATGTGATTACTGCACCACTAGCATCACAGCATCAATCTACAAAAAACTACATATTAAACTGGGATAGGAGAAAATATTTTATCATAGACAAACTCACTGATGTCATTCTGACATGACATTTCACTCTAATCCAGATTTTGGCTTATTCAGTGGGCTGAACCATTTATTAAAAAGAGAAGGGGGAGAGAGAAAACTGAGGGTACAGGATGGGAGAAACTCTCCATTCTGTGGTTTATTACTGTGATCTCACTCTGTCTCTCATTCCTGACACACACACACACACACACACACACTTCAGTAGGACAGTTCTCTTTGGATTTTACACTCTTGGACTGCAGATGGAGATGAGATACAGTCCTGCAGGGCTGCCATGTGTGATGAATACGCTGTTGCAATGGGCCAGGATTATACTGGAATGCCAGTATGTAAAATATACAAGAACATTGATTGGTTTTTCACACCTGAAATTGTTTACCCTGGAGTTATTACATATACATACCAGGGTTGTTTAATCTTGGGTTGCCAGGCTTTGAGATTTCACACTGTACATTTGTAAACCCATTCGTGGATGGATTTGATGGTCTTATTGGCATATTTACAAGCTTAATAACATTGATTGGACAAGTACAACACGTGACAAGCACACAAACTGTTTTAATAACTGCTTGTCCATCTGGCTGTGGGCTTTGTTGTCCCTGTGGACTTCTATAAAATAAACTCTCTTAAATGACTGAAAATCTGGGTCTGGGACAAGGGTAAAACAACAAAATCTTTTATTTAAAATGTTAATTTTTTTGGCTTTTCAAATCTACCCTAAAAGGCATTAGAAAAGTTGTCAAGTGAATGAAGGTATGATTAAAAAACTCTATTTTAAATATGACATCAAAAAAATCTTTATTAATACAGAACCAAACATCACAGAACTTTGTTTTCTCACACTCTCTCATTCACTGTCTCCTTCTCTTCGTCTACAGGCTCCAACTATTCAAGTCCGTCGTTGGCTCCAGTCCCCAGTCTGAATGAGGACGAGCGTGTGGGGGGCGGGGGTGGGGTGCTGGGTCTTGCACCTGAACACATTCCCACCCCTGGCGCTCCCATCAGCTGGCAGGCAGCCATCGACGCGGCACGGCAGGCCAAGCTGATGGGCACCACCGGAGCCCCGATCTCCACTGCGAGCTCCACGCAGCGCAAACGCCAGCACTACACCAAACCCAAGAAACAGGCCAGCACTGCCTCCACGCGCCCACCCCGAGCCCTTCTCTGCCTAACTCTTAAAAACCCCATCCGCAGGGCGTGCATCAGTATCGTGGAATGGAAGTATCCTTTACTGAACTCTGACCTGCTTGTTATATATATATATATATATATACACACTACTGTTCAAAAGTTTAGGGTCGGTAACATTTTGAATGTTTTTGAAAGGAGTCTCTTATGCTCACCAGGACTGCAATAAAAACAGTACTATTATGAAATATTATTACAAATTAAAATGAATGTTTTCTACTTTAATAATTTTTTTCTAAAATATTATTTATTTTTGTGATGGCAAAGCTAAATTTTCAGCAGCCATTATGCATGTTTTCAGTGTCACATGATCCTTCAGAAATCATTCTAATATGCTGATTTGCTGGTCAAGAAACGTTACATATTATTAATGTTGAAAAGAGTTGTGCTGCTTAATATTTTTTAAGGAAATCTTGTGGACTACCGTTGTTTTTAGAGTTCTAGAGTACAACATTTTTTGAAGTAGACCTTATGTGACAATGTAAATATTTTTACTGTCACATTTGATCAACTGAATGCATCCTTGCTGAATAAAGGTATTGATTTCTTTCAAAAATGTAAATATTACTGACCCAGAACTATATATATATATATATATATATATATATATATATCTGTGCTGTAATTCACCACATATTTCATTTAAAAGAGCACATTTGAATCTGACAAGCCTCAAAGCAGGGCCTCAAAGTGCCATCACATTAAAAAGCACACAATACTTATGAAAATACTTTTTTTTTATCTGTAGTGCGGCAGACATGTTCCTCCCAGAGCGACATCCAAAAAAGTCTCATATTGAGTTTGTGACTATTGCTTTAGCAGGTAGCTGAGCATACAGTTGTTTTCTGAATGTTAATTAATTAGTGTTACAGACTACTCATAAACTCAGTAATGTAGATGACTTTAAGGCTGAAATTATTGATCTCCAGGTCATACATGTATTCTTTTCATATTTTGATTCGCAGCAGTGCTTCTGAGTAAGTGTTTATTAATTGTATGATCTGTTTGTTATTATTACAGGCAGCATTTGAGAGATGTGCTATGGCATCTTTGAGTTGTTGTAAAAATGCAATGTTGCATGAAGCAGTACCAAAATATAAAAGCCCTCCAAAAAAGTCCCTCAAAAAAGAAGAATGAATTTCTTCAGCATGATCTGTTTATAGTCGTGACCGTTATTCCCCCTTTGCTGCATTACAGGTGTAAATACACTTTTTTGTGGTTTTTATGCCTTCTACAAAGGGTTAAATAGAGTTGAGCTTTGATGAGTCATTCAAGTGCACCCCTGAAATGAATTTTTACAGGAGACTAGGACGGTGCGTTCCCCTGTCCTTTTCCCCTTCCTCTTTCTTCCTCTCTTTTTTCCCCTCTCTCTCACGGTTTTATGTAATCGTTTCTGCCCACAAGAGACAGCGATAGGCCACTGACCAGGAAAATATGTTAATGAGGATTGATAGGTTGAGTAAAATGCTTCATTCATCAGGAAACAAGAGATCCAGCTCCCATTCACAGCTTCAGCCAAGAACTGATCACATCATCAAATATTTCCCCATAAATTCACAAACTGGCACGAGGGAACTCTGAACTGTGGAGACAGAGAAATATTTTCCCTCATTAATTTTGGTGGGATATTTTATAAAAGTTCCTGTTTTGCCGGTTCTGTCCGTATGTGTCACCAGTCTTGCACACACTTGACTGGATCTGTATCTCCAGAGGCTCCAGAGCCCATCTCTCCTGTCTTTGGCTGTGTTGCCATGCCAACAGCTCCTCTCAACAGGCTGAACAGGTCCATGCGCGCGCACACACACACACACACACACACACAAATATTCACCCCTCCCACACGCGCACACACAAATGCACACGCATATTGACCCCTCCTACAAACACGCATTCGGTCACACACATTTACATTATGCACAGTCAAGCAGGTTTCATATATAGAAGTGTTATTTATAACCTTGTAAGACCTTTAAAGATTAAATTAAGTTTGGGTCTGCCTGCAATGGTCTGTTTTTACTCCCTTGGGGACCCGAACTACTGATCTACAAGCATGTTTATCTAAATGGGTTACAGGGTCTATGGCTCTGTAATTCTGAACTAACCCCAGAGAGCCATAACTCAAGGCCCAGACAGCAGATACAAGAGAAACATCCAGAAAAACAAGAACACATCTGTTTCTCCTCAGGACACGTGCCATGCGACTCAACACCCATCTCGGAGAAATCCATTCCTGTAACAAATGATGACACAGTTTGATTGCGTTTCCAGCTGAACTGAAAGCCAAACAAACAATTTGGCCAGTGAAAAGAGAGCGGGAGGAGAGGAAGAGGGAGAGAAGGAAAATGGGAGGGGGGTGAAGATCGTTGTCTTGAAGAAGGCCAGGTTTTTGAAGAGCTTGGCCTTGCTATTAACAGGAAAGAAAAAAGATTTGAGTAGAGAGAAAAAAAGCAGAGAGGATAAGGACTCTTACACACTGTCTTGTGCACTGATACAACTTAACATGTACTGTATGTTTGTGTACTCTTCCTTTGCTTGTGTATAAAAGCATCTTTCATTTTCTTTAACTGACTCTTCAGACCGTTTGAAATCATAATTTTGATGACTATTTTTGCAAACTGTGTGGCCTTAGCTGTCTACATCCCTTTCCCCGAGGACGATTCCAACGCAACCAACTCAAACCTGGTAAGAGACGCTCTGCCTCACAGCACAAGTCAGAAATGAGCATGTTAATGATGATTTGAGAGTGCTGATAATGATAACGATGATGATCATTATGGAATTAAGACTGTAATTATAATGTTTGTGGTGCGCTGCTGCTGATGGTAGTACTGATGAATATGCCGGTGACCGTAGTGGTGAGGATGATTATGACTTTAATGGTGATGGATGTTATGTGATATTGGTGATGATAGTGGTGGTAATGTGATTATGGTAATGGTGAGGATGATATTGGTTGTGATGGTGATGGTTATGTGATGTGATTGTGGCGATTGCAGTGAGGATGGTGATGGATGTGATGGTGATGTAGTAGTGAGGATAATACTGGTTGTGACGGTGTTTAATGGTGATGGTGGTGGGGATGGTTATGATGATAATGTGATGATGATGGTAATTCTGATGAATGTTATGTTATAGTAATGATAATGTGATGATGGAATTAGTTAAGATGTATGAGCCAAAACTGTCTTTAAGGTCAGCTTGTTAATTTTTTTATTACGTTTTTATGGTTGTGATTTATTTTTGCATGTGGCTCAAAAAATGTAAAGCTTTGTAAAGAGCTTTGGTCTACAGACTGTTAAATAATGCTTTATAAATAAAGAAAGAGGAAGAAGATGATGGTAATGCGATGTTGATGATTACGGTGATGGCAGGTGATGATGGTGTTAGTGGTGTGGCTGAAGATGGTTGTGATGGTTATATGATAGTAATGATGGTGGTGATGATTATGGCAATGATAGTAGTAGTGAGGATGGTGATGGTTGTGACAATGATGGTAATGGTGAGGATAATACTGGCTGTGACTGGTAATGATGATGGTGGTGATAGCATTGGTGGGGATAGTTGTGGCTGTAATGGTGATGATGGTAATGGTGATGGATATTATGTGATTGTGGTGATGGTGAAGTTGTGGCGTTGATGATAATGGTGATGGCGGATATGTGATGATGTGTTAGTGGTGAGGATAAAGGTGGTTATGATGGTTATGGTAGTAATGATGGTGATGAGGGTGATTATGGCAATGATAGTAGCAGTGAGGATGGTGATGGTGGGGATGGTTATGGTTGTGACGGTGGTGGTACTGGTAAGGATAATACTGGTTGTGACAGTGATTGGTAATGATGATTGTTGTGATAGCAGTGGTAGGGATAGTTATGGTTGTAATGGTGATGGATGTTATGTGATAGTGATGATAATGTGATGATGGAATTACTTAAGTTGTATGAGTTATATTCATTTTTTATTGTTATGTTTTTATGGTTGTGATTATTTTTGCATGTGGCTCTAAAAATTTACATTTTTGGTCAACAGACTGTTAAATAATACTTTATAAATAAAGAAAGAGAAATATTATGATGGTAATGTTGTGATGTTGGTTATAACGGTGATGGCGAGTGATGATGGTTATGTGGTAGTAATGATGGTGGTGATGATTATGGCAATGACAGTAGTAGTGAGGATGGTGATGGTTGTGACAATGATGGTAATGGTGTGGATAATACTGGCAGTGATGGTGGTGATATAGCAGTGGTGGGGATAATTATGGTTGTAATGGTGGTGATGGTAATGGTGATGGATGTTATGTACTGTGGTGATAATGTGATGGTGAAGTTGTGGTGTTGATGATTAGCGATGGAGGATATGTCATGATGGTGTTTGTGGTAAGGATAAAGATGGTTGTGATGGTAGCGATGATGATGATTGATTATGGCAATGTTAGTACTAGTGAGGATGATGATGGTAATAGTGGGGTTGGTTATGGCTGTGGTGGTAATGAATGGTGGTAATGGTAAGGACGATACTGGCTGTGACAGTGATTGGTAATGATGTTGGTTGGAATAGTTATGGTTATAATGTGATGATGATAATGGTGTAAACAAAATTATGATGGTGTTGATTATGGCGATGATAATGGGCTTTACACCAGAGGAACCTTTTAAAGGGGTCATATGATGCGACTTAAATTTTTCCTTTCTCTTTGGAGTGTTACAAGCTCTTGGTGCGTAAAGAAGATCTGTAAAGTTGCAAAGACTAAAGTCTCAAATCCAAAGAGATATTCTTTATAAAAGTTAAGAGTCAGCCACGCCTACCTAAAACGACTCGTTCTAACGCACGCCTCCACATATCTACGTCACTATTTGGGCGGCGTTATGCAACTCTTCCCACATCTTCACGCAAAGAAAGAAGGCATAACTTTTATTCTTGCTGTAGTATTGTTGCCGCCGCCGCCATGTCGTGAAGGCGCTGTGTGCTTCGTTGTGAAAGCGAAACTACTTTGTTTGGCCTTCCAAAAGAGGACGATATCCGCTTTGTCATGCCTGGAGCTGATCCGTGCTGGTCGCTGAGGAAATACACAACTTGTGCGCTGTGGATCGCTGGATTGGCTTTCACCGTGGACGAAGCGGAGTCCAGCCCGCATCAAATTAATGGTGAGCATAAGAGATTCAAAACCATTTTAAAAAATCGTACCAACCCCGAACTTTTGAACATTAGTGTGTGAGAAGTATTAAGGAGAGTGTGTTTGATTGTTCCTTCAGTTCACATGGCTGCAAGCATGCCTGCATTGTGACTGAACGGCATTGTGTTTCATGGCATTTAGTCGCTACATCACTACTCACTGCAATAAAGTAGCCTGTTACTGGAAAAGCTACACTATTTTGAAGTCATGCTAAAGTTCCCACTACTTTTGGCCATTTACTCCCCTTCACATTGTCTCCATAATCATTTAATAAGAGAAATGGACATTTCAAAATGAAATATGCCACTCTACGAGAGATTTTAAACAAGCACACAGCTGGAAGCTCGGAGATAGCAGCTGTTAGCCACAGAGACAGAGGGATTGTGGGAGATTTCAGAATTACCTGAGGGTAGGGTAAAGCAAAAGTGAGTTAGAAAAACAGTAAATTAAAACCTCAGTCCACGGGACAGCCTGACTTATTTACACATAGATCCAATTCACTCCTGAGCTTCATACAATCTGACAGAGCCATCCAAGAGGCCTGACCAAAAGCGATGTGCGTATGTGCACGTTTGAACGCTCACAGGTTGACCTAGTCAGCAGCGTGTCCAGGGCTCTGAATGCGGCAGTAATTAAAGTGAATTAGATATGTGCTGAACCTATTTTCACAGAGACTAGCTGGCTTTTATTATTGGGACGGATCAGACTGGCTTATACGGTTGGGGATTCGAGCCAACGGAGGAGAAAAGGGTGAAGATTTATTCAAAAAGAACCCCCCCCAAATCTCAAGGCTCTCAAATGCAGGTGGTGGTGTGGAGAAAATCACTTTCTCTCATTTTTCCCCTCCTTTATTCCAGAGGGACAGAGATGACAGCAGCAGGAAGAAGTGGAAGTACCAAGGTTCAGTGGAGGAGGAGAACGGGCGTGCACATCAAAGACTCTCAGCTGGAGTGTGTCCACACCTTTCTTTTTCTCTCTCTCTCTCTCATTTACTCTCACGCAGACGTGCACACACTTCTCAGAGACTCTTATCCGCCAGACAAACGGCCGTTTTTAATTTGTGTGACAATACGTGCGGATGGCCCCTTATTTGCAAGGGGAAGCCTGGAGCTGCTGCCATTTGAATAAGCACACATCTGGGTTATCAGGGATCAGAAGCCTGTGCGCATAGACAAGCAGAGCGTGACGAGCCGGGTTTGGCCCTCGCCACTGGGGCATGGAACCACGCTGCACAGCGCAACACAACACAACAAAGCACAGCACAACAGCAGGGTTGTGTGCCGTTCAGAATTGAAGTGAGAATTCCTTTTATTTATTCTAATTCAGTTCCTGAATTTTAATTTAATTCTGAGTTGAATTGCAATTTGAATGTAAGAATTAGAGTGAACTGAAATTTCTAACCAGAAAAGAGAAGTTTCTCAGGACTCATCAAAGCCTTGAAAATTTGGGAGTTTTGAAAACAGTTTTAAAAGTTAACAAGCCTTACAGATAGAATGACAGAATGATAGAACTATCAGAACTATGGATAGAATTATAGAGAGAATGATAGAACAAATGACAGACAGACAAATACCTACATACAAAAAAGCACAGTGATCTCCAGTTCAACATAAGAGGACAGGAAATAAAAACAACAGAAATAACACAAAACAACAAAATAAAATAAAAAATACATTTAAAAAACACCACACACACACAAGCACACAAAACACAAGCACACAAAACACAAGTCTCCAGACTCCAGAGGTCTGCGGGGTTCCACTTCCAGGCTTCCCAGTAAACCTCAAATTAAAGACTACACCAGGATGCTGCAGCACTTTCATGAAAAAAACGTCGTCCTCATGTCTTATTCCCTGATGAGGTGGGGAGAAAAACCTGAGTGAACAAGTGAGCATTCTCCCAGAAAATATAATTTCCTCCCTCTGTCAGAACAACTGAAGACAAGTTTGTGAAAGCGAAACTACTTTGTTTGGCCTTCCAAAAGAGGACATGACTAGAAATCAGTGGTTAAGTTGTATTTACAACACTGTTCTAGAACACTTCAACCCAAATATTCAGATGTGTGCAGCACATTTTATGGAGGACTGTTTCCTGATCCTGGTAGAGTAGACTACAATGCCGGCTGTTCTGACTCACAGACTGTAAGTACGTTTTTTTATATTTTAAGAATTTGCCACTGATGATTCAAACGCGAGTTTTGGGCAGTGTAGAGTAGGGCTTGTTGTGTGTCATTTCTCCGATCACAAATGCAGACATGGTTTTATGTTTACGCCGTGCGATGCAACGCAACGTGTAAAAAGACAGTATAAGTCATTATAATCTGTAATTATGTCCCCACTGGATGCAACAAATGCCTCGTTTATAATGGGTTTTCATGTTTTTGAATCGTCGCTCCGGCCTGACGGCATCATCACAGTATGGTGAGGGGCGTAACATTTCCGTCACACACTTGAGGTATTCGGCCAATCATAACGCACTGGATAGCTGGCCAATCACAGCACACCTT